TACTGATGTTGAATGCAATAAATCAGTTGCTTCGTGTGCAACTGTTATCACAACAACTACTACCTACAAACTAACTGAAGCTAATCCTAGAATGTACCATAGATGAAATATTATTATTATATATTTATATTATTATATATTTCCTCTTTGAATGTACCAACAAAATAAATCAGGTGACTTATTGCATTTAACATCACTCGAAAGTGATGAGAAAGCATTTGCTTAGAACATTTTCAAAAAAAGTTCAGAAAGATAGAAAAAAGTGAACAAGTCAAAATCTGAATGGAAAGTGATTTGATTTGAAAAAAAATTGACCTTATATTTAAGACTCGTGTCTTAAACTTCTAGATCCTCTTTGCTGAATGATCAGTGGTCATTTTTACAAAAAAAAACCTTATTATTTGCTTTAATTAGTACGCAGGTACTCTTTATTTGTTTTAAGTAAACAAACAGTTTTTGTTTATTGTAATTAGAACAAAGAAGATGCAATTGACCATTTTTAAGCAAAAGAAGAGTCTTAAAACAAATACTTTTATAAAAATGCAATTTTAAGTAAGATTAACATGCATTTCTCCTATATGGAGAATTTGATTAACAAACCATAACTTCAAAAAATCATAGGTATCTTGAAAACTACTCGGTATATTTTTTTGAAAATTTGGATTACAACTAATAAAGAGATGCTCTACACGATGGTAATGATGAAAAAAAATTTACTCGTGTTATAAATTTTATAGGTTTGGGGTTAAAAAAGATATTGCTATTTTTAGATACTTATTATAAGAAACTTAATAAAATTTCTTATAATTGTCCTTTAGTACGATTATTTTGACAATAAAATAAAGAAATAAAATAAGTTTCTTACAGCTCCAATAATACTAATAAGGTTTTTTGTAATTTGACTTGTCGCAAGTGTCATTTGAAATTCCGAAATTGAGGTGGAAAAAGTTAGAGGGTTAGTGGGGATGCTTTTAAAATTGTGTCAAAATTGTCTTTTTAAAAACAAAATTAACCTGTTTCGTTTTTTTCTGCAAATTCTTTCTAGTTCGTTTTTATTAGAACACCCTGTATCTCATAAATGGATGGTCTGATTCAATTTTGGTAAAAAGTTTTGAAAAGCTTGTTGAAAGAGCCTTCATTTGATGTACCACAAGTGGGGTAGTGCTATTTAAATGTTTAAAGTTGGGGTGTGTGGAGGTTAGGG